TCTCTCACCACCGTTCTGCCCCCTCCCCCACAGGACTGCAGTGTGGTGTCCTCCAAACTGCACCTGATCCTAGATGACCTTCTGTGGGTTCTAACTGACAGAAATGTGGTCTCTCACCACAGTTTGCGTAAAGATCTCTCACCAGCGTTCTGCCCCCCTCTCCCCCACAGGACTGCAGCGTGGTGTCCTCCAAACTGCACCTGATTCTGGACGACCTTCTGTGGGTTCTGACGGACAGCCAGCTGAAGGCCATGGCATCCTACATGCAGTCTCTCAGCAAAATCATCCGCAAGTCGACCGAACAGAACAAGAGAGATGCCTCGGCCCAGGTAAGAGTCTGTATTCAAGATTTCTTGGGTTTACAAGGTCACTACTGAACATATTTACATCCTAAAAACTTTCAAGTTAACTCTAGGAAAGTTTGCCATGGCCTGAGCGTTAGTCTAACAGTTGACTGCTGCAAATATTTTGCATTTCTACATTTTGTTTTACATTCCTATGCTTTAAAAAAGGTGGATACTGAGAACATTATTTGTCTATTAAATAATCATATCATTTACGTATCTTGGTAGCCTAATGATGTGGCCGGCCCAAAAAAACTTACACAGTGTAGAAATTAAATACTTTTTTGAACCTATCACAAAAATTAGGTTGCCCATCAGAATTTAATTAAGGTTGCCCCACCTATAAGTTACTACTTTCCTCAAATTAAGTAATGTAAGTTACATTATAGTATTACTGTAACAGTCTTTGACAATATTTCTAACAGCCTTTACTTAACTGATACTAGTAATAGCCATTGATACCTAAAATTAAAAAGCATCTGCCAGATATATACAGTGGGGCAAGCCAAGTGGGCATGATTATTTTTTTTTGGGGGGGGGGCGATTCTTAAAATTCAGGTAGCACACTGGGCTACCTAGGTTCAAAAATAGGTTGCCCAAGTAAAATTTGGTTGCCCGGGGCAACTGGGCAACCAGGTATTTTGCACGCAGTACAGTACATTTGTACAGTCAAATCTGCACAAATCACCACCTGTACATTATAAAGCCCAGTGTGACTACTCTTTGGTGATACTAGATAATTTTATGTTTTTCGTATTCACACAAGTGATAAGAGTCCTGTTCCCCCCCCTGCAGCCTTCACCACCCTCTCCGCAGCACCACGCCACGCAGCGCCCCCACACGGCCACCAGCGGTACTGCGCAGCGGAACCCCCAGCTGGAGGCCGTCAGCAAGTTCTTCAGCAAGTTTGACATGGTGGAGACGTCTTACCACATCTTCACTCGCCGCTTAGACCTGCACCTGTGTGACGATACGAACCCGCTGGAGCAAGGTGTGTATGTTGACTTGTACCAACGCAGATGAACTTTCATGCTACTTGTGATGTTGGATATTAGGGTTTTCTTTTTACACAACCTGCTTACGTTTCAATGTGTAACAGACTCCTTCCTCAGAGCTGAGTACTGCCTCTGACTGGAGTATGGCTTCTCGCTGCTACATGTATAATTATGTACTAGCTGATGTAGATAGACATTAAAACATAAGCAGGTTGCCTTGTATGTCTTAACAGCAAGTCAGAGCTTAATTTTGGTTGCAAATTAAATTTGTAATCATTTGAGTTTTGGGAGAGAAAAATGTTAACTCTGCTTTAAGATTGGTGGATATTATGATGAGAGAGTGTTTTGTCTTGCTGATTTTGTTTCTCTCTTTATTTTGCTCAGCATGTATGGAATAACCATTTTTACTTACCTACAGTATTTATTTGTCCATTATAATATGATCATGATTCGACCATTTAAAAAGTGTTGAGTGTAAAAATCCCTGACAGGAAAAAGGGACCGGCTACACTGGTGGCGAGTGTGCAGTTCCTCCGAGCAAGGTACACCACTGTGTAGTCTGTCGCCATGGTAACCTGCGGGGTTACCGTGGTTACGTGGTGTTGGGTCAGGATGTGCCGCCCCCCTCCCCACCCTGTGTGCACAGTTGTGACTTTGTATGTGCCTGTTTTTGAAGATGCTAACTGCAGATGGTCGATGTCTTCTCTGAGACTTCTTCTTCCAAGACTGTCCACTTTATAATCTCCCTCTTTAGACCCTATCTTACCCAGAACTGTGTCTTATCTAGTTCTATGCCTGGCCTGAATAGGTTGGAGTGACAATCAGGCAAGGTTCTGTGTAGAATCTATTGTATCCAGAACTGTGCCTATCTAGGTCTACATTAATTGTATCCTGAAATGTGTCTGTCCAGTTCTATACCTAAACGGATGATGGCTAGGATCAGGCATGTTTCTTGATGGTCTTTGCATATCCAAGATTGTAGGTTGATGCAGGTATGGTTCTGCATAAAACTGTGGACTACTAGTATCCAGAACCAGGCCTGAGCATGGTTCTGGATGAAGCACAGTTCTGGATATATGCATGGACTACTAGTATCCAGAACCAGACCCAAGCATGGTTCTGGATGAAGCACAGTTCTGGCTACAACAGACCTTTCTCTATTTCTTCCGTCTAAGTTCTCTAACATCTTGGTTTGACTGTCTTGCTCTTACTAGATCTGCTTGCTTGCATCTTATTTCTCAAGTTGTCTTTAACGAAGATTCTTCTTTCCTTTGTTTGTTTCCCTGAACAGTAGACCTTGCTTCAGTACCTCCCATTCGCCAGTTCTGTTTTCGTGACCGTCTGTAGCTAACTGAGTTTGTGATCTTGTGTTGTTTTGATCATGTGCATGACGTTATAGTTTTGCATGTGGATATTACCATCATGATGATAAATTGCATGCATGAGCATGTTTTTTGTCCCAGTTCCAAACCCCACAGGACAATTATTATCAGTCAGAATCAACACAATCATACAAAGTCATGAATGTGTGTAGATTTTTTGGAAGGCTTTATGGAAGGCGGTGATGAAGGTACAAAATGGTATCACAGGAACTTGCTTGGACTAGAAAATAGGGATATTTCTGACCTCTGCATGACAGGAAAAGAAATGGAACACACAACTTTTATATATAGCCTGAGCAGAATTGTGTATTTTTTGACAGAAAAGTGTGCAAGCAACTTTGGAATGAAAATATGGCTTGAATGATCATTGAATTCAAAATTGTTGTTTTAGGGGAATTGAGCAATAATGCACGTTTTGGGCAAAAAAATCTGTATTCTGAAGAATCTTTTTTAAATTAGATTCTTTTTTAAGTCAAGTACCAGGCCTTCAACTGAAGTAAAAAAAAAATCAAATCCATTAAAACAACTCATCAGTGGGGCTGTGTGGCGTAATGGCAGAGTGTTAAGCTCGGAACCAAGAGGTCCCGGGTTTGAACCCTGCCATGTCACCGATCTTGTGCCCTTGGGAAAGGCTTTTTACGCAACTTTCTGCGAACCCCATCTCGTATTAGCCACAAAAAAGGCAGAAGAATCTTCAGCTAGTTGAAGGTGGCTGCCTCAAAAGGAAAGAAGACAACCAGCAAGAGAAGTTATAGTTACTGTAAAACGTTGAACTTTATTCCAACACCCAATTTACAGAGAGATCAAATTTTCAGCGACCACTGTTGCCTTCATCAGGATAATTAAATGACCAATCACTTCACAACGTGATCTCGAGAGAGTTATGGCAAGAGAAGTTGTGTTTTCTGTTTGTTTTCCTGAAGACCCAGCAGCCTTTAGGGTGTCTGTGCTGCATGCCCTGGGAGCCTGACTAACAGTACAGATGGCGGTGTGTTGTTCTCGTGCCGATGTTGTCCTGACTCCGTCCTGTTTTTCCCCACAGAAAAGTTTAACCGCCGGACGGACGGAGGGGCCATGCAGATCACCTTTCACCGCCTCATGCTGGATTACTACCCTTACCACTCTGTCGGTCAGTAACTAGATGATTCCAATGTCTTTGGACTATTTTGCCAACAATTTGCAGCCTTAGCATAAATTTCTAAGTTTGTCTGAGTTGGTAGAATTATGTACATTATGGAATGATTAAACAGTTTACTGAAATAATTTTAACTCATTTTTGACTGAACCACTCAGTCAACTTTCTAACCCAATCACTAAGAGGACACGTGACTTTATGCACAATGTCATGTAATGTTCGCAATGTGTCAAAGATTGTTGGAAGTCTAGTGAGTCCAATTTTTTTCAGTTAGAACAGTAAATTAATTGTTCTGTAACATTTCAGCCTTATGCCTGAGTTGCGTATACAAAATTGTATTGATGTTAGCCCAAAATCACAATCCTGCAAACAATTGACACACTGGTACTGTAGAAAAGAATTAATTTACAATTAACAATAATTATATTTCAACTTTTTGCATCATATTTGCCCAGGTATGAACAAAAAGCACTGGTTCCGCCACAATGAGTGCATGGACGCCCGGGACCAGTGGGCGGAACTCCTGCTGGCTGAGTTTAAACACCAGCTCAAGGAGTGGAAAAAAGCCACCGCCGACGCCGCCGAGGGTCAGGAGTCAAGGGATGGAGGTCAGGAGGAGGTCAGAGGTCAGCAGCCTGGGGTGAGGGGTCACAAGCCTCGCCCTAAGCTGATGAGTAGTGGGATCATCTTTCGACTGGAGGACTTTGAGCTGTACCAAGTGAGTTCTTATCATGATACTGCACGTGTCAATGTGCTGAGGACATATTATTGTACTCAGTAAGTTGTGTCAAGATTTACATTGTATAGTGTTTTGAAAGTCCAATTTAAGGCTAAAAGGGGGAAAAGCTTTTTTTTTAACGGTGTCGCTCAATGCAAGGCCAATTTTTGACCACTTCTAGGCATAGAGCTAGAGGTATAGAACTGTAACAGCAACTCTTCTCCCTGAGTCAGAAACAGCATGATTGAGACCAGCCCAATTTGTCACAAGTAGTGAGGACTAACTGACCCAATAGGAGCTGAAAAGATGACCCTAGATTTTGTTCCTACATGTTCATGAAAAACTTTTCTAGGTTTATTTGTATAATTATGTTTATTTTTAAATATTATTAAGATTTAAGACACTATACAATGTACATGTACATGTACAGGAAAGTGCTTACCATCAATCTGTTACTGTGAGTGTGACACCATTTTTCGTTTCATGAAAACAGAAGATATCAATACCAAATGGCAAAGGTAACAGTTACTCAAGCAACTGGATAGTTTCATTTATTTCATTTATTTCGAAACCTAGTTCATGAAAATATTATCACCTGGATGTCAGACCTTCATCGACCTAAATTCATGTGGCCCGTATTTGATTTCATACCTTGATAGTGATACTTCTACAGGAGAGAAGGCTTGTCAGCCTGTTGTGTCCTCGTCCTCGCTCCTACTGCATACTTTTGTCTTTCTCAGTGATTATCTAACCTGGTTTTGAACTGAGTTACGGTTTCTGCAGTGACTACATTGTCTGGTAGGGAGTTCCAGTTGCTAAGTAAACAGTTCTGATACTGAAGGCTTGACTTTGCCAGTGGGACTTTTGAGGGGGTGGCTTCTAGTTACCGATTGTTCTACACAGGAGTGAAGAAACTGTCAGCTGGGATCCTTTCAAAACCTTTCATGATTTTGAAAACCTGAATGTTCATGAATCATTATTTTTACCCTACAGGTGAGCACCTCGGACACGAGGCACTCCACCCCCAAGAAGTTTTTCTCGTCAGACAAGAAGGCTCTTTACCTGCCGCAAGAGATGTCAGCTGTGCACCTGGAGTACACCGAGTACTACTTCCCCGAGGGGGTCGAACATCCAGGTAAGTCATGAACACCTGGACATCCAGGTAAGACTTGAACACCTGGACATCCAGGTAAGACATGAACACCTGGACATCCAGGTAAGACATGAACACCTGGACATCCAGGTAAGACATGAACACCTGGAGTACACCGAGTACTACTTTCCCGAGGGGGTCGAACATCCAGGTAAGAC